CTTAAAACTACATTTGCCTCTGCACCTATTTTACAGCACCCTATCCCCTCACTGCCTTATATTCTTGAAGTTGATGCTTCTGAAATCGGGGTAGGTGCTGTTTTGTCCCAAAGAGAATCGCCTGAAAGGCCATTGCATCCATGTGGCTTCTTTTCTAGACAAATGTCCAAAGATGAAAGGAATTATGATGTGGGTAATCGTGAACTCCTTGCTATTATCTTAGCTCTTAAAGAATGGAGACACTTGTTAGAAGGAACTAAGGATCCTATCCTCATTTTTACAGATCACAAGAATCTATCCTACCTTGGTGAAGCTAAAAGATTATCTTCTAGGCAGGCTAGATGGTCACTATTTTTGTCCCGTTTCAATTATATTATCACCTATAGGCCAGGTGATCGCAACATTAAAGCAGATGCTCTGTCCAGACAGTTCGAAACTACTGACAAACAGGAGGTTGATGTTACTCCTGTCATTCCCCCAGACAGGATAATAGCCACTACTATGTTGTCTATTTCTTCATCCCTCTTGCAGACCATACAGGCGAAACAAAGTATGGCACCTAACGAGAGGCCTATTGATAAATTGTTTGTTGATGTTCCAGAGAGACGGGAGATTCTGTCATTATATCATGATACTAAGACTGCTGGACATCCTGGTATTACCAAAACGATGTCAGCAGTTTCTCGATATTTTTGGTGGGGTTCCTTACGCAAGGATGTCACTGACTATATAAGTGCTTGTACTACTTGTGCATGTATGAAAACATCTCGTAGAGTTCCTTGTGGGCTTCTGCATCCCTTGGAGACCTTGGTCTAACCTATCCATGGATTTTATTGTTGAATTACCCCCTTCGAATGGTAACACAGTCATCCTGATGATAGTAGATCGGTTTTCCAAGATGGCTCACTTTGTGTCTCTTCGCAAGTTGCCCACATCCAAGGAACTGGCTCTTGTCTTTGCTAGAGAAGTATTTCGGTTACATGGTATTCCTGTATCTATCGTGTCCGATAGGGGTAGCCAATTTATTTCCAGGTTCTGGAAAGCCTTTTGCTCAGAAATGGGTATTTCTCTCTCATTTTCTTCCGCTTACCATCCCCAGTCTAATGGAGCTGCTGAACGTGCCAACCAGTCTCTGGAGCAGTACCTTCGTTGTTTTGTGTCTCACCATCAGGACAATTGGTCTGACCTGCTTCCTTGGGCTGAGTTTGCTCGGAACAATGTCACTCATGATTCTTCCGGCAAAAGCCCTTTTTACGTTGTCTATGACCAGCATCCCGTTGTTCTTCCGGCTGCATTCTCCTCACAGGGCATGCCAGTTCTGGATGAGCATTTGGCTGGTTTGCGTAATACTTGGGAGCAGGTTCAGCATTCTTTGGTGGATTCCGCTGCTCGCCAGAAGGCTCAGGCTGACAAGCATTGCAGGGCAGCTCCTACTTATGTTGTGGGGGACAGGGTTTTGCTTTCCACGCGGAATATTCGCCTGCGGGTGCCTTCTATGAAATTGGCTCCCCGTTTCATAGGTCCTTATCGTGTACTGCATAAGGTTAATCCTGTTTCATACGCCTTGGGTCTTCCTAGGAATCTGCGTATTCCTAATGTATTTCACACCTCGTTGTTGAAGCCTTACGTACGCAACCGCTATACCCGGCATTTCCCGCCTCCACCTCCTGTCTCTGTGGAGGGTCATGAGGAAGTCTCTGCTGTTCTTGACTCTCGTTACTTTAGGGGTCGACTTCAGTACTTGGTGCATTGAAAAGGTTATGGGCCTGAGGAGCGCAGTTGGATTTCAGCTGATGCTGTTCAGGCTCCCCGCCTTGTGCGTTCTTACCATTCTAATTTTCCTGCCAGGCCTGGCCCTACCTGCCCGGTGGGCGTGTCCCCAGGGGGGGTACTGTAGCGTTACTCACCTTCTCAAGGGGCCGGCCGCGGTCCTCTCTTCGAGCCGCGTGCGGTCCTGCTGCTGTGTGTGAGGGTGCTTATGTGTCTAAAGGTTGCTGTGTGTGTCTAAAGGTGCTGTTAGTGTGAGGCTGCTGTGTGTGTGTTATTGTGCTGTGTGTGTCTGAGGGTGCTGTGTGTGTCCCAGGGTGCTGTGTGTGAAGGTGCTGTGTATGTGTGAGGGTGCTGTGTGTGTGTGTGTGTGTGAGGGTGCTGTGTGTGTGAGGGTGCTGTGTGTCTGAGGGTGCTGTGTGTGGGAGGGTGCTGTGCGTGTGAGGGTGCTGTGCGTGCCTGAGGGTGATATGTGTGTCTGAGGTGCTGATAGTGTGAGGGTCCTGATAGTGTGAGGGTGCTGTGTGTGTCTGAGGGTGCTGTGTGTGTCTGAGGGTGCTGTTAGTGTGAGTGTGCTATGTGTGTGTGAGGGTGCTGTTAGTGTGAGTGTATGTGTGCTGTGTGAGGGTGATGTGTGTGGATATGTTTGGGATTGTGCGTGTTTATGGGGTAGATTTAAACATATTAAATATGTATTTAATAATAATAATAATAATTTAAAAAAAAATGTTATATCCCCCATTCTTACATTTAGCCTAGGGGGGGTGGGGAGAATCATGATGCCATCCCAGTTGGCCCTAGTTGTGAGTGAACTCTAGCCTCCGAGGCTAGAGTTCACTCTTGCGAGATCTGAGCATTGCCGTGGTAACCGCGGCAACTCTCCGACCTCACAAGAGGAACCCGGCGGAGCTGCAGTTAAGAGCTCCCCCGTGTCTTCTCTCCCTCCCTTCCCAGCCGGCGTCTGTTTGTAACTTCCTCTGGGCTAGTGAGGGAGATCTTTCCCATGAAGACACACAGCAGGGCCAGCGCTCGGATAGTGCTGGCTCTGCATGGGCCGACAGGGGATATCCTGTGATCTCCCTTGCCGGCCTCAGCCCATGACCATCGTGGCCCACCGGCCATTTGCCAGCTATGCCAAATGGCCAGTCCAGGCCTGTTATCAAGCAGCTATTCTAAGATGGTTGATTTCAGAAGGCAAAATGTCCGCCTACATACATAGTCCAGCCCTTATTCCCTTCTTTTACCACTCCCCCCATATTACACCTACACTTCCCCACACCCACACAAGTCTCTTATGTGTCTAGCTTTCAGCCTGCCTCCTCAGGATCTTAACAGGGCCGGCGCGTCCATAAGGCGGCACAGGCCGCCGCCTTAGGGCGCATGGGTTCTGGGGGCGCAATATTTCAGTGACCGGCAGGAGGGAAGCTCTCCCTCCTGCCAGGCCACCATCTCGACCCCCGGCGCGGCAGTGCTGTGATCAGGCGCGGCGAGGGAGCTCTAACCTCTCTGCTCTGCTCCCTTGCGCGCTGCCTACTGATGCCGCGGGAGACGAAATATGACGTCATCAGTAGGCAGCGCGCGAGGGAGCAGAGGATGGAGATTAGAGCTCCCTCGCCGCGCCTGATCACAGCACTGCCGCACGCCGTCCAGCAGCCCCAGGGACAGATCCATCATCCACACCAGCTCTCCAGGTAGGGAGGCTGGGTGGAAAATGTGTATTTATAAAATAATTAGTGAATGTATGTTATGTGTGTCTGTGAGTGACAGTGTGTGTGTGTCTGTGAGTGACAGTGTGTGTGTCTGTGAGTGACAGAGTGTGTGTGTCTGTGAGCAGGGCCGGCGCGTCCATAAGGCGGCACAGGCGGCCGCCTTAGGGCGCACAGGTTCTGGGGGCGCAATATTTCAGTGACCGGCAGGAGGGAAGCTCTCCCTCCTGCCAGGCCACCATCTCGACCCCCGGCGCGGCAGTGCTGTGATCAGGCGCGGCGAGGGAGCTCTAACCTCTCTGCTCTGCTCCCTCGCGCGCTGCCTATTGATGCCGCGGGAGCCGGAATATGACGTCATCAGTAGGCAGCGCGCGAGGGAGCAGAGGATGGAGATTAGAGCTCCCTCGCCGCGCCTGATCACAGCACTGCCGCACGCCGCCCAGCAGCCCCAGGGACAGATCCATCATCCACACCATCTCTCCAGGTAGGGAGGCTGGGTGGAAAATGTGTATTTATAAAATAATTAGTGAATGTATGTGATGTGTGTCTGTGAGTGATGTGTGTCTGTGAGTGACAGTGTGTGTGTGTCTGTGAGTGACAGTGTGTGTCTGTGAGTGACAGTGTGTGTGTCTGTGAGTGACAGAGTGTGTGTGTCTGTGAGTGACAGTGTGTGTGTCTGTGAGTGACAGTGTGTGTGTGTCTGTGAGTGACAGAGTGTGTGTGTCTGTGAGTGACAGAGTGTGTGTCTGTGAGTGACAGAGTGTGTGTGTCTGTGAGTGACAGTGTGTGTGTCTGTGAGTGACAGAGTGTGTGTGTCTGTGAGTGAGTGTGTGTGTGTGTGTGTGTGTGTCTGAGTGACAGAGTGTGTGTGTCTGTGAGTGACAGTGTGTGTGTCTGAGTGACAGAGTGTGTGTGTCTGTAGTGACGTGTGTGTGTGTGTCTGTGAGACAGTGTGTGTGTTTCTGTGAGTGACAGTGTGTGTGTGTCTGTGGCGACAGTGTGTGTGTGTCTGTGAGCGACAGAGTGTGTGTGTCTGTGAGCGACAGTGTGTGTGTGTCTGTGAGTGACAGTGTGTGTGTGTCTGAGTGACAGAGTGTGTGTGTCTGTGAGCGACAGAGTGTGTGAGTGACAGTGCGTGTGAGTGACAGTGCGTGTGAGTGACAATGTGTGTGTGTCTGTGAGTGACAGTTGTGAGTGACAGTGTGTGTGAGTGACAAAGTGTGTACGTCTGTGAGTGACAGTGTGTGTAAGTGACAAAGTGTGTGTAAGTGACAAAGTGTGTGTTAGTGACAAAGTGTGTGTGTCTGTGAGTGACAGTGTGTGTGAGTGACAGTGTGTGTGTGTGTGTGAGTGACAGTGTGTGTGTCTGTGAGTGATTGTATGAGTGTGTGTGCATGTGAGTGTATGAGTGTGTCTGTCAGTGTATGATGAGTGTGTTTGTCAGTGTATGAGTGTGTGTCTGTCAAATCAGTGAGAGTATGTTTGTCATTGAGTCTGTGTGTGACTATCAGTGTGTCTGTCAATGAGTGTCAATCAGTGTGGGTCTGTCAGTGTCAATGAATGAGTGTGTGTCAGATCAATGAGTCTGTGTCTGTCAGTGACGTCTGTGTGTTTGTCATTGAGTGTGTGACTGTCAGTGTGTACAGAGTGTAGCGGAGCAGAGCGCAGTACAGGAACTTCTGTTTCCTGTACCTGGCCAGACTGACAGGAGGTGCTCACAGAGAGAGCACTCCCTGTCAGTCCGGCCGGGTACAGAAAACTGAGGCTCCTTTAGGGGATCTGCTCCACTCGGCAATGCAACAATAGAGGTAGGAGGCACACCATTAAGGGGAGTGTGACCACTAGAGGGGTGTGGGGTGCACCAAGGGACAGGGAGGGAATGGGAGAGAAACACCAAGAGACAGGGAAAAGAGGGGGGAGGGGAGAAGAACACTAAGGGACAGTGAAGGGAAGGGACTACTAATGGTCAGGGAGGGGAGAGGGGCTGGTTAAAAGGCACATAGGTGAAGATGTTTTTTTTTTGGGGGGGGGGGCGGAAAAATGCATCTTCGCCTATGTACCTAAAAATCCAAGCACCGGCCCTGGATCTTAACAGGGTACTTTGCAAATAAGCATAAACAAGCTATTTAACAAAATGTTTTAAATCTGTTTTGCCACAACTACTGCTACATAAAGAATGACATTTGATCTGAAAACCTTTTAAACTCTTCCCACCAATATTTCTATGATGAATGGGTGAATTAATGAAAAATGAAAGTTGAGTAAATTTACATACTATTACATTGTAAGGTATCCCTAAACCCGAATCTGTACTCAAGATTGCAGGTTTTTTTCTACATATATATGTGCAAGCCATGTATCCAACGTTTCAAATAAATCTTATTTATTTAAATGAAACAACTTAGCAGTGAATGAATTAAATGCCAGCTCTTTTCTAATACATCTCTATACTTTGTTTTAGATTTACAGAGAATTCTTTTGTAATTCTTATTTTAGATTCATTGAATTTCAGAATGAGTTGTTTAGTGAATAGTTTCAGCTGAGTCTGGTATATCGATGGGTGTAAACAAGGTAAGCAAACAGATGGAGTTGGAGCTATTGACTTACTTACTTTAAGGAACCTAATAAAATTCTGTGGGTCTAAGTATCCTACAACACAGGACAAGGAATTTCATTAGATCTTTTGTATCATCAAGGACTTTAAGGCTGACTACTGTCTTGGGAAACCTAATTCACTAATAATTGCATTGGCAAGACTAAGGTTAATCTACTATAGCCTTTGAGTGTAGCCTCCAAAACAATTTCAAGCATCTTAAATATGTTTTTCTTAAATGACTTGCTAATCGATAACTTTCAAACATTCTGAACCGGCGTTGACAGTATTGTTGAAAATTCCCAACTCGAAATGTAAACTAGAAGGTCACATTTTTATTCTGTATTTTCCGTTATGGGAGAGGAATTCTTTAAATCATTTGGCTCTCTAAGGCTTTGAATGTTTTCACCACTTTCACAAGGTTGCAGAAAGCCTTGACTTATTTACAAAGAGATGTGGAGCCGAGATAAGATTACTTAATAATCTACCAGTTCTTACTAAATACTCTTTCTTTCCACATCCTGTTAAAACGAGCAGAAAGAAATTACATTTTGACAGTTCTAACTGAGGTTAATGTCCTACCGCAATAGTTATGTGGACACTTGAGAAAAGCCTTTTAATGCAATAACCAATGAAAATAGATATAACTTTTTAAGAGCAGAAAAAGTGATATTAAGCTGCAAAAATTGCATTTCTTAATGAAACATCATAAGAACATTTGCCATTGCAAAAGCAACAGGTGTATGGAGAAACGGAGACAGAGAGAGACAGAGGGATGTAGGATATATAATGATGAACTGTATGTTTCTGGAGAATAAATGCCAGTTAAGAGTTTTTGAATACATCTTAATAACCCTGAGATGGCTCTCCCTTTCTGTATCCTTTCTGTATTAAATTACATTTCTTTTAGGGGATTAACTTGTTTTGTTCTAAACAAGATAGCTTCTGAGCATGAACTACTATTTGCAGCGCTGACTTTAATTCAGCTCATCTCTCTCAAAATGGTTTCATTCTTTTAATCAGATATAACATACTTTAAAGATTTGTATCTCCTCTCCATAAATTGAACTTTAATTACATACAGGAGGCTCCTGCAGGGTCTGACGAGCTACTAAAGAGGGAGATCGGAGATTCTAAATTTAATTTGCAATAAAGGAAGTGTAAGCTTTAGATGACTCTTTACAGGAAGTGTTTAGCAAGGTTGTGTAAGTCTCGTGGAGGAAGGTGTGCCTAGAGCTGGGATGTAAGGGATTTAACTCGTAAATGGCAGAGAATAGAGCAGTGAGACTACAGGAGCATTATCTATACACTAAAACTGCTTCATTAAGCTAAAGCTGCTTTGATGACTATAGTATCCCTTTAAAGTAAAATCGAGAAATCTGAAAAAAACGTTGCTGCCTGGTGACATAACTTCCACCAGTCTTGAGCAGAGTGCTACATGAACATACCTGCAATGCCTATTATACAACATTAGATTCCAATGAAAGGTGCTAACAAATTTTCAAAAGCTTTCCCAAGTAATAGCTATGTAAGTCTCCTGAGCTAATACCCAACTCTTGAAGAAGTAAGATATTGCACTTATGAAGAAGCCACCATCTGTCCCGATATCCCTGAACCTTTTTAACATTTGAAAAGCAACTAAGTTGGCTTGTGGCTTTTTCTCAAATTTTTTCAAATTTCAGATTCTCAGTTAAAATACATACATATGTTTTCAAATTGGCATTTAAAAAAAAAAAAAAAAAATTTAAATAATTTATTTAATTTTTAATTATTATTTTTATTTATTTTATTTTTAATTAATATTAATTTATGTAACATTTTACATAAATTAATTAATACACTGCTCTAATAATATTTAGCATTTTAGCTTTTCAATACTTTCTATCTTTTTGTCTGTGCATAAGAAGCAAGCCTCTCAATTAAATCTTATTTTGTGGACTCCCCGTTCAACACGTAGCAATAATAGTAAAGCATTTAAGTTTGTAGCAGTACAAATATTCTATTAAATTGTGAAAAAAGGCTACTGACACAGTAAGCTACCGGTGAATGCTTGTTTTATGTTTTTACAATAAATTTTGTAGCCTTACCATGACATTTCTTTTGATAAAATCATAAGCTATTGTATTTTTTTGGGTGAAGACTTTTAATCTCTTATTAGAATTGAAAGGCATTATCATTGATTAGTTGGAAACAAAGATGCTATAGAGTTTCGAAATGTTTTTAAGCACCGAATATAAAAGATAAAAGGTGTTTTTTTTCCCTCTCATTTATATTTTTATTGAAGTATTCAGTTAAAATAGTACATCACAGTATTTTGCACAATTTCCATAAATTATTTTGAAAAGAATGCATTTTGCTAACATTCAGTTTGGGTAACATTTAAACAGCCATAACAGTTTAACTTGTAATGTGTTGTACTTATTTTTATTTATTTTTTTTTAATTTTTTATTGAAATATTATGAGCAATACAAAAAGGTCAACAATGCAATAGAATGTTTCATAGTTACAAGTATGTCGGTTTTGTTGATAACAGGGAAAGTACAGTATAACACCTATAGTTGTTGTATAGAGGGGTTTGTTACGTGCAGATGAGGTTTATATGACTTCGATGTCTGCATACACATTAATGCAATATGGAAAGTAAACTAAAGTAGAGTGTATGTTAGAAAGTGCAGGGTGTAGGTTAATTTTATAGCAGGTCAGCGATTAGTGCAAGGTAGTACGAAATGATACCGTATATTGGGAATATAGCAGTAATGTGTAAATGCAAACACTGGTTGGTAGTATATTTTAGGTACACAACCATTTGAGATGTTTACATGGCTTATCAGCTTGTAAGGTTGGCACTGTTCGTGGGTGGATAAGAGTTTAGGCCGGATGACATAAGTGGTAACTGTCACCTTAACTGTGATTACCTTGGAGGAATTTGAGCCAAGATCTCCAGGTGGTGTGGTATTCATCATATTTGAGCGTGAAGGAGTTGGACAGCTCCTCTATAATTCTAATGGAGTCAACCCTGGGTATCCAGGCTCTAATAGTCGGGGCTGTGGATAAAACGTGTTTTACGCTTTCCTTTGCTTTATAGTCCTCTTGTCTGCGAAGTGTCACAATTTATAAAAAAAAAAACCTAACCTATGTATCTTTTATACTATTTGAGTTTTTTTTTTTTTACAATTTATGTGCAAATATACAAAGATCAAGGAAAAGATAGATCTAATTAAAATTTCAACTGAGCAAATGACAAGATTTTGTTTTAAAAAATAAAAAATGTTACACAAAGTTAGTTACCTCAAAGTCTACAAATTTTTCAAAGGTTACATATTACATTATTTTTCTTTCTTCTTTTATTTGAAAATAATTGTGTATAGAAAATGTGTTTCATGTGTCTTTTCATAATATTACGTTAATATCCAATTTTCCTGTAGAGAACTAATGCATAAAGTTGCATCGTGAGAAAGCCTTCAGTGTTTGTCAAAGCAAGTTGCCACTGAAATGGAAAATAATCAACATTGACTTGTTAAATAATAACCAGAAGACAGCAATCTCCTTGTTCTCAGAATGTAAGAATCTGTGTAGAAAAGTTCACTAATGTGAATTGGAACAATTAAGTTCTTAACACTTCTTATACCTTGAATATTTCTCATTATTTACATGTGATTTTTTTTTTTTTTTTTAAAGGAATACTCATTTTTTTTCTATTTATTTGTGATCACTAAATATTATGTTTGTATATATTTGTATATATATATATATAACTGAATAGTTTCCAAACAGTAAAGAAGACAAAAAAATGGAAAGAAAAGAAGAAAAAAAAAATCTCTATGTGAAAAACATTAATTAGCTAATTTCTGATAGCTAATAAATTAAAGGGAAACTATAGTGCCAGGAAAACAAAGTTAGATGAGTATTCACGGTAGAACCAATTTTCTTGCTGCATTGACAGCTGGGAATTCTCTACCAGCTTTGCAAATCTGGATCCTACAATTTTTGATCATTCCTTTTGGCAACATTGCTCAAACTTTGGGAACAATTAATATTTTTCACATTTTCTCAATCAAATTGAGGTCTGTGTTTGGACTAGAACATTCTAAAACATCGAAATTCTCAGTTTTAAACCACTAGTGTATCTTGAGCTGTGCGTTCATATTCATAATTTGGCACGGTGGCAAAATTACTCCCCAATCTCAGGTGTCTTGCTATAAAACCCCTTTGTATCCTTTATTCAGGCTAGTTTCCTAGTTTGTT